TAATCACTGTTATAGTCACATACATGCTCCCACATTTTTATACCTACAGTATTGTACGGAGATTGGTTTACACACGTGCTAGAGTGGTGGCAGCGCTGTCGGGATAATAAGAACATATTGTTTCTCAAATATGAAGATATGAAAAAGGTGAGAGATTCCCATTGTCATGGTTTATAAAATATTTTCACGTTTTTAATTATCATAGAATGACTATATTCAGATACTCGGTCATTGCCATACAATGACGTTCAGCTCCGATACAAACTTGCTTACTCTAAAACCAAACTTGAATGGTACTTTGAAAACAGACATGAGACCTATCGTGTACACACGGGAGCTTCTCAGAGACCATGGTATAAGTAGTTACCTGGTTATAGCATGGTATATGCGATCAGAGTACCGACAACTCGGGCAACAACTTCACAACTCGATTCAGAGTGTCCACACACCGAATGTGAGAACTCTCAATTTCTCAACAGTGGCGGTGCAAATTAGATAAATCATGACAAAGTCATGTGACGCGAAGGTACATGGGTGTATGTTGCTGGTTCATGGACACACGTTTTTGTATTAGCATTTTAGTACAAACCGTCTTGACACTTAAATTGTGGAAAACACTGAAAACAGGACAAACATGAATACTGAGTTGTGCTAATTGGTTCAGTAAACAGTTACGATAGAATATCCGTATCAGTTATACTGTCATTTTATAAAAAACATTGTATTATACACAATTTAAATTACCATGTACTTGCATATCATTTGCTATAAACAACTTACAAACAATAGTCGAATCGATAGGATGAGTATTTAAACCATTTTAATTACAAGATAATGTAATGATAATGATAATGATAATGATAATGAGCAATTTAAATTTAAACTCCCTTATTAACTAACGAATGTAAATGGTGATGACATTTTTAAAAAGAAATCTTCCTGTGTGTACCATTGTTATTTAAATTGTTACTTGTGTTTGAGTTCGAAACAATGTGAAGCTAAGGAGTATGGTCTGTTTTATGAGGAGTCCGTGTGTCCATGAACCTGTCTTGTATGCACCACAATATAAATTGCAATGTGCAATGAATAACTTCAATTGTATCTGAAAATACCCATAATGTATGTACATGTATTATTTTATAGGATCGAAGAGCAGCGATCGTGAAAATTGCCGATTACCTAGGGTATGACTTAAATGATGATAAAATTAATAAAATAACAGATCACTGTTCGTTCAAGAACATGAAGAAAGCATCTCTAATGGAACCATCAGTAAGAAAAGGTAATGTATATCAAGAGCGTTTTAAAGCGTATCCTCTATTGTTTAATCAGTGCCTATGCTGTTTACTTTCGCTTTCGTGCAGCAAGTCTCGCCGTAGCCTAGAATAGAGATGTGTTTATGTTACCAATAATTAGTTTTCACTGAGGGAGCCAGCTTACAGGAGCCAGCTTACACAAGCTTTTCCATCCCAGGCCTTCAGACAAGTATTTGTAATAATAATTTTTCAGTCAGCTCCCATGTTTTTTTTATATTAATATATAAATGTGTTTTTTGTAATTATATACAGTTACTGTTTATTTCTCAGTGTCATTTCTGCTGTTCTGTGTCTTAATTGGAATTAGTTAATTTGATGATGTCATGTTATCCAGACAGTACTTTGAAAGTTTAGCTGTTATAACTCTGTTTACGTGAGGTAGCTGACAATGTGGAGATGTTGACCTACATATGTTATTCGTGATACAGACTAATAATTGTCATTTTTCTTTATTCTATCTAGTAATTAATATATATGTATATACATGTATATATAAATGAGCCCGACAACATACATATTCGGCCAACGTTCGCCATATTGAACATTTTGATGACTATTTCTGATCATGGGAATATGAAAACTTTTCAATATAGAACAAATTATATAGCTAATGAAATCAATTTTCAGTTTTGTTATGATAGCTATTTTTCAAAATATGTGGTTAGGTGAAAATACTTTTCAATAAAGGCCACAGTGTGGTCAATGAAAAGCTGATAAAAAGTAATGTGTAAAATGAGTGCG